CCTAGCCTCCCTAGAAAAATTTTGGCAGCATAGGTCCTAAGACCTTTTTGCACCAAGTCGAAAAGGTCCCTACTCGGCTGAGGAGGAGCCATGAGGTTCGAAACCAGAGCCAAACGATAGATCTCACTGAATGCTATCGATTGGTATATAGCTTCCCCAGGTCCTAGCCTCCCTAGAAAAATTTTGGCAGCATAGGTCCTAAGACCTTTTTGCACCAAGTCGAAAAGGTCCCTACTCGGCTGAGGAGGAGCCATGAGGTTCGAAACCAGTGCCAAACGATAGATCTCACTGAATGCTATCGATTGGTATATAGCTTCCCTAGGTCCTAGCCTCCCTAGAAAAATTTTGGCAGCATAGGTCCTAAGACCTTTTTGCACCAAGTCGAAAAGGTCCCTACTCGGCTCAGGAGGAGCCATGAGGTTCGAAACCAGAGCCAAACGATAGATCTCACTGAATGCTATCGATTGGTATATAGCTTCCCCAGGTCCTAGCCTCCCTAGAAAATTTTGGCAGCATAGGTCCTAAGACCTTTTTGCACCAAGTCGAAAAGGTCCCTACTCGGCTGAGGAGGAGCCATGAGGTTCGAAACCAGTGCCAAACGATAGATCTCACTGAATGCTATCGATTGGTATATAGCTTCCCTAGGTCCTAGCCTCCCTAGAAAAATTTTGGCAGCATAGGTCCTAAGACCTTTTTGCACCAAGTCGAAAAGGTCCCTACTCGGCTGAGGAGGAGCCATGAGGTTCGAAACCAGTGCCAAACGATAGATCTCACTGAATGCTATCGATTGGTATATAGCTTCCCTAGGTCCTAGCCTCCCTAGAAAAATTTTGGCAGCATAGGTCCTAAGACCTTTTTGCACCAAGTCGAAAAGGTCCCTACTCGGCTCAGGAGGAGTCATGAGGTTCGAAACCAGTGCCAAACGATAGATCTCACTGAATGCTATCGATTGGTATATAGCTTCCCTAGGTCCTAGCCTCCCTAGAAAAATTTTGGCAGCATAGGTCCTAAGACCTTTTTGCACCAAGTCGAAAAGGTCCCTACTCGGCTGAGGAGGAGCCATGAGGTTCGAAACCAGTGCCAAACGATAGATCTCACTGAATGCTATCGATTGGTATATAGATTCTCTAGGTCCTAGCCTCCCTAGAAAAATTTTGGCAGCATAGGTCCTAAGACCTTTTTGCACCAAGTCGAAAAGGTCCCTACTCGGCTCAGGAGGAGCCATGAGGTTC